AAAAAAAAAAAAAAGAAAAAAAAAGCGAATCGTCGTGTTTTTGCCTTTGTCTGTTGTCTCGAAACGAACGATACGAGTTCTTATTAGTTCCGTAGCAAATGTTCGCATTGATCAATGGTAAGTTGTTCGCGGATAAATTGTCTCAGAGAGAGAGAGAGAGAAAGGCATCGTTTTCCAAGCGGCGGTCGTTACGTTTGCTCGTTAGAGATGCTAAGCTAACGCGAGTAGCAGAGCGCCTGGCAACCTTGAAGGTTCTCCGGGAAAACGACAGGCTTCGAATCGACGAGATATGCACTTACCATCTCTAGACATGCCGAGGCGTAGGCACTTTTGCAACCGACAGTACTGGCACCGGTTTCTGTTTACACGGTCGACCACGCAATTCTTGTTCCGCGGGCATTGATAGTTGACGACCGACGACTGCGACCGCCTGAAGAAGCCTTTGCAGCCCTCGCAGGTGATCACGCCATAATGAACGCCGCTGCTCTTGTCGCCGCACACCTTGCACGGGATTATCTCGATCTGGGCTGCAAGCAAAAGACAAATGAAGAAAAAGTTAGTTAGTGGTTAGTTAGTTCGCACGCGATCGATCGCAGACCGGTAAAATAAATTAAAAGATAACGCGTTCCGATCGTTACGTACGCGTACAGACCGGTCGCATCGAGCTCTCTTATCTGGCAAATTGATTATTGGGTAGATATCGATTTCAGATTATCTACCAGCGAAACTTTAATTTTCGGATAAGCAATTCTTCGGTATTTTCATCTTCAACTGCCGTGAATCGAAACTCGAATTTTGCGGGTCACAGTTGCGAGAGATGATTTTCTCGATTGCGAAACGTTCGAGCTGATATCTATGTTCTTTGTTGCAGTTGAATGTACTTCAAGATGGTTTATTTGCTTCACGATGAAAAGTAACATCGCAATTCGTTCATTTTTAAAGAAACACGAATATTCACCAGCTGAATTTAAACTTAAACTTGTAGATCACAGTTGTGAGAGATGATTACCGATTGCGAAACGTTCCACGTTCTTTGGAGTTGGAGTCGAACGACTTTCAGTCGGACGTATTTAAAATTTTATCGAAGATGTTTTATTTGTTTTTCGGTGAAAAGTTCCGCAATGTTCATTTTTAAGGAAACACGAATATATAGTTTAACCACTTGCGCGCTGGCAACTGATTGCGGACCATAACGAGTGACCAAACCGTATACAATAATTCATCGCTTTCTTTTTGAACTCGTCGATACGATATCACTGGATAGAAACTATTGATAAGTAATAAATTTATTTATTATTTGTTTTGCCCATTTTGTTTTACTTAAATATAGTTAAAACAGAGAAAATATAAATTCTCGATGCGCGTGGCACATCATTCCAGCGCAAGAGGTTGAATTCAAATTTAGTAGGTCACGATTGCGAGAGATAATTATCGACTGTGAAACATTCTACGTTCTTTGAAGTTGCAGTCGCACGACTTTAAAATTTTGTGGGAGACGTTTCTCATTTGCTTCCCGATGCAATGTTCATTTTTAAGGAAACAACGGACTTATATCTGTCTACACGCGAATCAATTGTCCACCACTTAAACCCAGAATGTTACCCAATCGTTCAGCTCGAGGCGTTTATTTGCTCTTCCATCGTTCCCCGATAGCGAGTATCAAAGAGGAAGAACTGAATTGTCCGGCGTTTTATATGCCGCCACTTTATTCCTGGCTCCGTCGAAGTTCATCACACCATTGGCCGTTCTCGCATAGTATATTTATGGATAACCTTTCGATTGGGAGACGACGAGTGCTAGACGGTGGATTCTATCTAGCGACGTAACCGCGGCGAACCGTTCGGACGCATTGCGAGCTATTTACCAGGCAGTCGCGGCAGAGATTTCGTATCACTTTAATGTGCCGCGATAACGTGAACGATAAACGCGGTCGGCGTTTTCTGTTAGAAAACCAAAGCTAGAAAAGAAGCGCTGCCACTTCGCACGATCGGGCAAGAAAGACCGTCTTTCATCCACAAGTGTCTCTGCAAATTGCAGCTGCTTGTCCCATCGGATGTGTTCCCATAGAATCTTAAAAATCGTCTCTAAAAAAAAAAAAAAAAAAAAAATATCCGCGAGGAAAAACGTGTCGAGAAAAGATTCATAATTGAAATTCTGTTCCCTCGGTCGTGTAAACAGTCGCGATAAGGGGAAAAGAATATACCCATGTGTCACAGTTGTCTGTTCTCAGATATGATCGTTGAAATAACAGAATCGTATTAAAGAGGTATTGCCTCATCGTTTTGAAACGAACGGAAACTGTTTTAACACTGGAACTACCAAAATTACAGATATGAAATAATGTATTTTTGGAGACTTGAACGATTAAAGGCTTGTGTACCCTATTGCATTATAAAGATTTTCTTTTACTCTGTGATGGAAATTTTATGCTCTAGACGTCGGTAATTCTGTTTGTGAATTTTTTAAACGAAACGTCTCAGCATCGTTTCCCATTAATGATTAAATTTTTATATTAAATTCTGTGTGTATATATATACTGATTAAATTTTTATATTAAATTCTTTGTGTATATATATACAAAGAATATATACAAAAAAAACATCAAGTTTTATATATATATATATATATATCATTACTAATCGACTCTAATGTCATGTATGTTTATATATATATATATATATATATATATATGTATATATATGTATATATTATTACTAATCGACTCTAATGTCATGTATGTTTCTTAATATTTGGAGTAGAACCGTTGAAACAGTTTTCAAACCGTTGAAAAATTCGCCATCAGAGGCTGGAGTACCTCGTATAGAATTAACTTGGAGCCTACGATCGTCGAGGATGTTATTTTCTGGACTGGGTGTTTGCACCGGTACCCTGGTTCTCGCCGTTTCCGGTGGCTGAGGGCTCGTACTGTCCGCCCCCCAACTTGGCCCACCGAACGTTGAGAGACTTCCCTCCATTTACGTCTCACACCAAGGTGTTTCATTTAAAATCCACCAACAGCCCTTGCGCACCAACGCAGAGCAAGAGTCAACGCGGCGTTTCCCGGAATTTCCACCATGCATCTTCACAACGTTACACATTCACATCACATAATTGTCGTCGTCGTTCCAGCCGACACACGAACGACAGCACACAGCAATTTTTCCGCAGTCTTTCGTGGAAAACAATCACGAACTCGGCTTCCACAACTCGGTCATGGAGTATCGAACAGACTTGAAGGCGTCGTTTCCCCATCGATTGTGAGATCGTACATCGAACGGAACGCCATGTGTATAACCTCCCCTATTCCGAACACGTTGCACGCTATATCCTGCAAAGGAGGGGCGTGATGGGACTTCTCCCTCTCGGAGAAACGAGGAATCTTTCTCCGACAGGGGTCCAAAGGAGGGATCTCGCCCGTCGAAGAAAATTAGTGCCAACACACGTAACCGATTCTGGCACGATCGATGGATCTGCAGCGCAAGCGCGATCGCCGAGAGAATATGAACTACTCGAATATACTTCTCTCAAAATATCGCGAAACGAATCCTTCTCCAGACTTTTGCGTTCGCTCTGTCGAAGCTTCTTGTCGAAAGTCGTGCAGTTATCGCGTTCGTCGAACGACAAGACGCGAGCGAGACAACGACGAACTGTAAAGGGACGTTGGCGTTGGCAATGGAAGGGTTGAAAATTCGAGCCTGAACTCGGTGTTTCACGGAGAACAATTTCCAGCTGGGTCTATTTATACGCCTTCTAACCTGGATTTCGACCAAGAATACATCGCCGATCCCTGCGCGAAGCAACCCCTAAATCAATCGCGGCTTACGAGCCGCGCTTTCGGACGCGCCATCGCGCGTGGAATGCGCGCGACAAATTCCGCTCTCGGGCTTGTGAACCTCTCATCGATCACCGCACACGCTCGGCCTTTCCTCCTCTCGTCCGAGAGCGGACGATCCGCCGCGCGATGCCGATCGAAATAGTCCGGCCGGCCGGCCGGCCAGCAGCGCAGCTTGCTCGTAAGCGTGCGTTCTTCTTGCCTTCTCGCGAGAGAGTTGAAACACGCGAGTGGGAAAAAAGCCGTGGGAAATACCGTGGAAATGAAATCGGAGGCGCCTCGGTAGGCAGGGCAGAGAACCAGAAATGCAGAGACGCGAGTGAAACTGAGGGAAAGAGTAGAAATGCGGCTGCTGCAGTTGCCGGCTCCCGTTTGCTCTCTATTTTCGTTCTCAGCTCGCGCGCGTCTATATCGTGCGCGGTGCGAGGGCGCTAAAGCGAGACGGAGGAAAGAGGGTGTGCTAGAGCAGGAAGAAGAAGAGAACCGGCGAGGCTTCCGAACCGAGAGAGGAGAGACGAACGACGTTCACATGCTCGACGCGTATCTACATTGCGCGCGCACGTGCATACGTATCTGTGTGCATATATTTGTCCATGGATGCGCGCGTGTACGTATATTTATCTACGTGTGCATATATATGCACGAGCGTATCTATGAATGCGCGCAATGTACGTACGGATGTGCATCTACGTCTGCACGTGTATGCACGTATGCGTGCAGAAATGCGTGTAGGTGAACACGCGTACGCGAGTTACGTGTGTCAGTTTGTACGGAACGTACGTATGTATGTTGGTAGAGGCTGCTGTATTGGAGCGAGGAGGATTCGGTGCGGCCCGTCCGTGTCTGTATATCGTGCTTCTCTCGTCCGACAACTCTAGCGCCACGAGTAGCGTCGAGGCGCTTGCACCATACGGTCGAACATTACATAACCGAGAACGATGAACCCAGAGTACAGTCACCCGGCACGCTCGCATCTTTGATGTGCGTCATGCCGTTGCCTCGAGGAGAGCTGCACACACACACACACACACACACACACACACATACACATACACACCGCCTACTGTATATAACCCCGGAACTGCCGAAATCGAAGCTACTTTGTGCCGCCCGTGGTTACAGCTTTGTCCGGCCGGTGTGTGCTTGTCAACCCTCGCCCCCCCCCCTCCCCCCTTTAGATATGCATACACGTTCCATACGTGTGCATACGAATCACGGTAAATACGCGGGTGGAATCGGCCAACGGAAGCGAGGTGTATTCTGTGTTTGCCAGAACGCGGAAACAGAGCTCGACGCTTGACGTTCGATTTCGGCAAGTTCGATCCCAGCGTGGCTGGAACTTGTCCAGACATTTCCAGATTCCTGAAACGATCGGACCTGTGTGTATATATATATATATATATATGCACATGTATATTCGCGAATTGAATCGATCACGTCTTCCACGGATTTTTTTTCGCGGAATTATCGAAATCGAGCACGATATACTGTTTTACAAACGGAATCTTCGGCCTTTGAAGTTATCACGCGAATCTAGTGTTGCTAGAGGAAACTGTTATTTGCGTAATGGCTAACTATGAACGAAGTCGAGAAGTGTGCAGGTTTCGTACAAAAGAATGTTGTATTAAATTCAAACGCCGACTTCCTCTTTAGCTGGAGTCCATACCTCCACCATTTCACACTGAAAAAAAGCTGCAGATTCAACATTTCCTTTTTACTATTTCTGTTCCTCTTCGCCAATTTATTTCGCAGGAGCCTGCACAATATAACTTTGCTCGAAAGATAAAAGAGAAAATACGAGTACCATCGAATATTTCAATTCATTTTAAAAAAGCGAAAAAGATGCTACGTAGAATATCTCAACTAAGGAGGGCAGGCTCGTATACGAATTCCAATGGAATTCCAATTCCAATTACGAAAGACAGAGAGAAAAAGAGAGAGAGAGAAAAGGTAACGTGGGATAAAGAAGATGTAGAAACGGTTCAAACGAGAGAGAATCATCTCCAGTTAAGTTTTTTCAGTTCTCGAAATCAAAGTCGTTTAAGCCATGTAGCATTGTTCCTTATCTATTACCCATGTCCAGGGAACACAGTACTTTCGGTGCTTCGAATGATACTGCGCACTGGGATAAATAAATCGAGCTGAACAGCGAGAAGAAGATATCACTACTTACGAGATGTAAGACCAAGTCGAAACTAGTTAATCACGTAGCTCCGCGAGTTCCCTCGAGTAAGGCTGACTTATGGCTCTTTCAGACAGGGATTGGACGAACACGGAAATAAGAGAAGAGAAACACGAAACAGAAGAGTAAACAGAAAGAGGCAAAATGACAGTGATTATCGCACGTGGAACGTAATACGAAATTGAAGCCTGGACTCTCTTCGCTAGCTGGTCGAAGATTTCAGAGCAACGCGCTACTAATACGTCTGCACCTTTATTTTCAACTGACTTCACTCATTACTCGCTATTTCCACATTTGTGAAAAATCGAACCAGATAACACAGGTAATAGGCAATGTTTGACAATATGAATTGAACTTGAACGAACGTGATCCAGAAATTAAGTATAATTGCTATAAATAGTCTGTCTGATGTCAGAACAATGGCGTGGTAATGTCGCATCGCAGCGTGGAGGCAAGTAAATGCGACAGAGAAAGAGAGAAAGAAAGAGAGAGAGAGAGAGAGAGAGAGAGAGAGAGAAACGCGGGATCTAAAAGATTAAACAGGTTAAAGTGTGTGCATAACTAGTAACGTGTAAAAATAAATATAAAGTGCGTTATTTTTAAGTCAGATGCTTACGGAGCGTTCGAGAGCATGAAGCAGAGAAACAGGCGAGCCATCAAAGTTTTACGAGACGCGAGTTGGAAACGAAAAAAGTGACGCGATCGAAATAAATGAATTCCAGTCTTCTGTACGAAGACGTCCATCATCGGTGGAAATATTAAACGCCGGCTAATTTCAGACAGTTTGAAACAGCAGTGTTACAGCTTCCCGTGAAATCTAATTGCGAAAGAGAACCTGCCGTACGCCAAATCGAAACGATGCAAGTTTAACATTCGTTGTTTCGAAACGACGATTAATTCACCAACGAGCCAGAATGCCAAGCGATCCCGAGTTAAAGTTTTGCGTAACTTCGCGTACGATTCGGCCGACAGATAGCGATCGGGGCGATCAAAATCCCACCGACACGATCGACGGAGAACGAAGACGAGTCGGAGCACGAGCGCCGAACTTCCTCGGTTATGGTGGTAGCACACGTCACTCACGTCGTATTGCAACGATCTCTTATTTACGATTGCTCCGAGCAATTAGCCGTCCGCGACCACGCACGATGCGCATTCGTAGCGTTACGTAAGCCGTTTGCTTTCTTCGGATTGTGAATCGAATCGATGAAAAGAGAAATTCGTCGACGACGAGCCTCGAGAGCCTCGAGAGCCCGACGTCCGATGTTTCACTTTGTCTCTTACGTGCGTTACGCTCGTCTTCTCTACAGCGAAATGGAATTCGTTTCTCGTTTTGCATAGAATCGAGTAGAAAGTGGCCAAAGGTTCCCGACTATTACGAGGACGGACGTGAACTTGTGGCGCGACAGCGCCGCGTGGAAATTGAGAACGCGTAAGTGGCTTTGGGTTAGGTGATGCGGCCTGGAATACCAATCGAGAGAAACTTGCGCCGCGACGAAATGAAATAAACGAGCGAGCGAGCTGGCGAACGAGCAACGGCGCGCGCGGGGCCAACTCCGATCCAAGTTGTAACATCCGATCGTTGCAGAACGCGGCGCGTGATCGACGAGTCGATATCTATCGTTCGGTGACGTCGATTGATACCGACGATTGAGCACTTTCTTCCTCGTGTTACCTAGCCGCGCGACAGTTCTGTCAATCTTTCGGCTCCGTTCACCGTCGTTGGCAGTGAAACGGACGCGTCGAGCCGAGCGTACTCCGCTCGAAAAGGAGCTCACCTAAGCAAGCGGCAAAGCGGTTCCTGATCATTCTCGAAGTACAAAGAAGCGCGAACCCGTTCGCAAAATAACGAACCCGATAGTTTTTTTCACCAACAGCGACACACACTCACACGCACACACGCGCGCATACACACATACCGTGCGAATGGGAGCCGCGCAAGCGCCGCACGTAAAACGCGATATGTGTACACGTAGAAAAAGAGAGACGCGCGTAGAGACGAACGCTGAAGGCTGAACGCGCGTATTCACGCACTCACGTACACGCACTGTGGCCACACACCACGGGAAACGCACAACATGATCGTACACAGATGAGAGGAGGAGGATCGCGCGTTTTCCACCTGGAGCCTTTCCAGCTACGACGATCACTTTGTTGGCTGCACTTAACAGGCACGCACGCGGAACGCGGCGTGGAACGGCGGGGCCAGCTTCTTGCCCCGGTAACACATCGACGACGACACACTGTGGCCGCTCTCTGCTTCCGGCGTGGCGTTCGAGCAAAGGCCGAGAACACGCGGTACACGCGGAATTTCGCGGAATTTCGCGGATCTGTTGGTATTTGGAGAGGCGAGGGAACACTGCGTGCCGGGGCACGTCTCGGGGCACTCGTGCAGAGGTGACGAGCCGAGTGTTGTTGTTGGAGCAACGGTCACGGGACACGGAGAAAGGGAAGAAAGGGGAGAAAGGAGAACGGAGAGTGCGAAGAAAGAAAGGAAGAGAGCCGAACGAGGAAAATGCTGGTGTAACGCGAGCGGAGGAACGACGGAGGCGAACGTTCTCCTCGGCCGAGCGGGACCACTGGCGCGCACGCACGCACTCACGCACACGTGTACTCGTGTACACAGGCGCGCGCACGTAGCCACGATGCCTCCACGTTTCCTTCCTCCGCGGTAATTTCGGGAGTCTCGCGCACCAACGTGTACACCGACACCACGATCCGATCGACCGGCCGATTCGAGCGGCGAAACCGACGCACGGTTCGTACGCGTTTGTTATACGATGTCGCGCGGCCACGCTTCCTGATCGGGCCCACCGGGGAAAACTCGTGGAAACGCCGTGCAACTGTCGCATTGGAATATTTCGGGGATATACGGGCTACCAGAGAGAGTCACTGACGAAGAAACGAGACGAACAAAGGAAGGAGATAACGAAACGGACAAAGATGGAAAAACGACCGTGTCCCGCAGGGGGTGGAGGAGGGAGGCGGACAAAGAAAAGTAGGGGGGAGAGAGAGATATAACGACAGAGATAGAAAAAAAAGTGTAGGAAAGAGGGACAAGAGCGGGAGTAACCGAGGGAAAAAAAGGAATAGAAGAAGTAAAGCCAGATAGATTGGGGGAGGGAGGGGGAGAGAGAGACAGAGAAAGAGAGAAAGGAGATGGTGATAAAAAAAGACGGAAACAGAAAAAGGGAGAGGGAGGGTTAAGGTACAGGAGAGGAAAAGAGAAGGAACGTCAGAAGGGGAGGAGAAAGAGATAGAAAGAGAGAAAGAGAGAGAAAAGTGTTTTTCGGGGACCGGCGTTAGCGAGTTGGCATCTCACAATATGTCAGAACTCCCCGCACTTCCCCGCCATCGAATGACGCTACGTCGGGTCACTGAACTGTGCGCGCCTCCGCCGATGATGGCCGAGTGCCTCACCCTTTGCTCTCCCCACCATTTCGTACAGCATCCCCACCACCGGAGCGACACGATCGCTACCGAGTGCGGCCGAGCTGCGCCGACGAACCAGATAACGCCAAGATCGTCGACTGCGCAACTCCGAGCGATCACGGAAACGCGCGAAGAGAGACACGAGCGCGCAACGCGGGCTTTCCGATCTTGCTCCGTGCGGCGCGCAGCATGTTAACATTATTAGCGCCGCTCGTTAAGGGCACACCGGCTCCTAAATACACGTGCGTATCGTGTTTCCCTCGACGATGCTCGGGGAAACTGCCGTCACGGAAAGTTTGTCTTTGGGTTAGGGGAGAGGCGTTACCGCCGCTACGACCGCCACGACTAATTAAAGAACCACGATGGTTTTTCCTTTACTCTCCAGCCGTTTACGACTTCAACTTTGATTGAGTGGTCGTGGCGCGACGCGTTGTGGCCATCACACGGTTAGCAAGATTCGAGGACGGGGATAATGGATTTAGAGATTCTTCCCTGATACCAGCCGCACTTTACGAGCAATTTTTAAAGAAACGAGCGTAGCAACATTTTATGTTATTCGACACTTTTATACTTTCATATATATATATATATATCTATATATCTCTATATCTATATCTGTTAATAAAGGAATGTTACTTTTACGTATCATTTATTAACATATCTATTTTATTCGCTATGAAAGCAAAAATGTGATTACTATGAGTTTTAAATAACTTTTGTTCGATACTAGACAAATTTTGAATTCCTATATTTCGTAATTGTTTTTTCAATCGAACTATTGCATCTCGACCACCACCGCTGGATTGCTACACGATGCGTAACAATCGGTTTTAATTTATATTCAGTGTTAATGCGATTCCACGATCGGCGTACGCTTTAAGCATTTGTGCCAAGGTCACTTTCATTTTTGTGCCGAGCATAATGCACTTAATGCAACGTGTACCGCTGCCACCCATTGAAAGTACTTTGATTCAACGCTCGGTCCTTTTTCGCGCGCTATTGCATTTTTCATTCTCGATCCCATCTGTTGTAACGTAATCGCCGATTCGAAGCTTAAGCGTAAGCGACTGGCTATGATCGATACACACAATATCTGCCACTTTGCTCTTTCGCGCTGTCATCCGCGTCGGAACAACAACGATTTATGCGCCGTAGAAAGGACCGGCGCTTTTTTAACTTCCTGAATATCCGCATTAAAATTATCACCACGAAATCTCGTTCTTCCCTTCGCCAGAACACGCACACACACACATACATACGTTTTTCCCAGCAACGTTTCGCCCCACGAATACTTCTCCCCCATTTGGCCCTCTGTCCCAACATGAATTTTCAAATTATTACCTCTTCCCTTCCAACGTGCCCTCTTAAATCCTCCCTGCACGCACACGTCGTGTCCCCACGTTCACCCTTCCGTCCTACGTTTCTTTCTTACCCCCTACCTTATCGCCAAATAACTCCTTCAGAGGTTCGTTCTTTCTCTCAGACACGCGCACCGCGCTCCCTACCATCGCGATTCACATCCCCACCCTCCGCGGCTTTGTTTCCCATCCTCGTTCATCGCGAGGTGTCTCTCTTTTTCCCACCGTTTCCACCCCCTCTCGCTGCGCCGCGGCGTATTATTGTCTCTGCCCCCGCGGCCCCGAGGAGCCATCGCCTCCTCTCACTTCAAGCCGTTCCCTCGGTCGTCCTCCCTCTCACCCGTGTCCCTTTCGCTCCTTCTCTCATTTATTGCATAACCGTGCACGAGGTTGCCAACCTGCGCCGCGTAATACTCTATAAATACGTTTCGCAAATAAATAATCGCGCCGGCGATATGTCTCTTTGCGCCGTTCCAGCGCCTCGATCCGGCGGCGGGCACTGAGCGATGTCGTCGTCGTCGTTGCCACGCTTGGAATTTACAAGATGAAATGGCCCGATAACCAGAGCCGATAAGCGGCCCTCTTGTCGATAACGAGCCGTGCATGCCACGAGAATGCACGTATGCATGTGCACAAGCGGGAAAAGCTGACATGCGTGCACGCATCCGACGCCCAATGCCCGAGGACCAGTTTTCGTTTCTCTAACTGTAAACGAACGCGACTCTGTCGCGAGACACGCGCTTGCATTTCTTTTCCCTCTTAGCCATCTAAATCGACGATCGGCGGCAATCGTTACGTAATTCGGCGATTCGGACTGATTTAATTTCAATTTCCTCGACATTTATCGATCGGCACATGAAACTGTACAAATAAATTTTCGTAATAGTACAAATACCTCTAATCTCATCGAGAACACGTTCCACGTATCGTTCCCCATGAAACGAGGCAGAAAATCTCGGCGTAGTCCGATCTGTCGAAAGGTTCCGGTTGAGAGACGCTAGGTTACGTAAGAGGAACCTCCAAAGTTACTTTACAATGCAAACCTGTTTCAGTTTCGTTCCCTTTGCCTTCGCGCCGCTACTCGCCAATTCGGTGTGGTCGGCTCGACGAGGGGAGAAAGAAGGCGGGAGAGAAAGAAGAGGGAAACGCCGTTTCTCGCTCGATGCCTCTTTACGTACATCTCGAGGTCGAAGGCTGCGCCGTAGATGGCGAAAAATCGGCCGCGGCCAGCTCGAAATCGCGGACGATGAGCCGGCGAGAAGAGCCAATCGCGGCTACGTCGCCGCGGCGATCAGCTGTCGGGTAAATTTACACCAGGTGAATCAGAATCTCTGTTCGTGGCGTGGAAACGTATATCGCAAGGCGTGTTTCCACCACAAGAGACGACGCGAAGCGCAACGAGGGAAAGAGAGAGAGAGAGAGAGAGAGAGAGAGAGAGAGAGAGAGAGTCGAAACAGCTTTCGATCGGCTCGTAACTCCGTTAAGCCCGGAGACTTGGCGCAAATTACTCGGACGAAGTTGATGTTTATTTCCATGACACTTAGGAACTCGCTGCGAAGTTTGTTGTCCCCTCGCGGCCCTGCTAAACGATGTCTGACATCGTTGCGAGGAAACGGCAGAGTGACAACGTTAATTCGCTCGTTGTCTTCTGCGACACACTCCGTTCGAGGACCGATCGCTTCCAGCGAACAACACGCCGATTTGTTTGTACGCTGTTTCGTGACAATCTCAAAATTCTGCCGGACTGTTTTTACAATCGTTTGAAAAACCGTGTTGGACAGTTGCGACAGCGCTTCTTCGATGCAACTGCGAAAAATGCCAAACAACGCGATAAAATGAAAATTGGCCATTTACGCACGTGGTTTAGATTTAATTGAAGGGATAGTAATTAAGAGAGGAAGTATGACCGACGACGATACGGCGTTATAATCGAATTAGAGTGCGTCGAGCATCGCGACCATACGCTGTGTGGCATTGTTCGATACGAAATCTGAACAGCGCGATCGCGCTGCATGGCACTGCGTAACAAAGTTTCCCCTTGTCGAGCAGTACGATGTTTTTAGTGAAAGATCAGCGCGCTTGAGGGTTGAAATATCTTTCAATCGTTGCAAGAAAAATCGACATTTTGCTCGAGCTACTCTAAAAAACAAAAAAAAAAAAAAAAAAAAAAAAAAACAGCAATATTACATAACTCGTGACTCGATTCGATACCTTTTAAAGAGTGTCGCAGTAAAACTTTCGCGCATCGTGTGCACGCAGCACGATCGTTTCATCGTTGGCAGGTCCGATCGGTACCAGGATGCACCTGCGCTTCCCTGACAGAGTTAAAGCATTCGTACACTCTCGCTTCAAACGCGTCGAGTCATCGTCTCCGTTCGTTGGCTGCACTCCTGTTTATCCGAATATTCTCTGCACTTTTATTGCTTTTCCCTGAACTCTCTCTCTCTCTCTCTCTCTCTCTCTCTCTCTCTTTTTTGTCCGCGTAACAGACAGCAGGCATTGCGTGCAGCCGCTGAAGCGAGCTCGCGCGTTTGTCGTCTGCAATCGCCGAGTGGCGTGAATCTCGGAATGAATGTAGGTCAGGCTATAGAATAATCAGCATGGAGGTAGATTCTTACGAACGAGTGCAGCCGCTCCGCGCGCTTTTAATATTTCCCTCCTTTCCACGAGTTGGCGGCGCGTCGTCGCTGCACGCCACACATTCGCGGAAACGCCCGCGAACAGATCCCGACCGAGCGCATTTTACGCAGCGCGGCAAGGCGTTGCCAATTGCGATTGACAAACGATCGCGTCTCGTTCTGCTGCGTCGTCCAGGTTCTACAGAGATTACCGATAAAACCTTCGTTATCGTTTTTGTTATCTCGCACGATGAGACAATACGATATTTGACGTTGCTGCAACGTTCACGGGGTGGAAAAAAAAAAAAAAAAAAGAACCTGGCGAAATTTTTCGATAGGACGGAAGAGCGTTTGCCGTCGAACGGAGGGAAATATATTCGTTCGAGTCGACGAAGCGAGAAAAGTCCGAAACTGATAAGATAATAGAGAACCATGGCCACTAGTTTTGCTGTAATTTCCTGGAATAGGAATCGAACATTCTCCGGCGAGATAACCGAATAACCGGCGCGCGGATTATTCGAGTTCTCATCGGTGACGCCCATGCACACGCTCTCGCCTAAATATACGCGAGACGAAATATAGCGCGATGATCTTCGGGAGTAAGAAAGCCGAGTGTGACACTCGATCGGTGTGTCACAATTTTGCGCGAGGCGGCGAATTTCATCGGGACGACTCGCGCCTCGGATCGTTTCGATCCGCCGTGTCGCGCCTACATGCACAGCCAGCACGCTTCGTGACAAACGTTCCACGGGACAAAATGTTAACGAAACGCAACCAATAGCGATCGGCGAGAATGACCGATCTCACGGATTACGTAACGGAGAACGAGAGATGCAAACGTGGCCCTTTGGGGGGCAACTGCGAGGCCGAAGAGTCCCGCATGGTCTCCGCGGCAGACAAGAATGACCGTTACAGTTTCCTTAAGCGAATTCAGATGTGGCAACGCTTGCGACACTGCGATGCCGGCATGGACATGGTGCGGCGTGGCGGCACAGCAGGACGGTCGATCGGACGTAGCCGACCCGGTGCCAAAATCGCTCGGCGAAGATTTTTGAATTTGGGCCGGGCCGGACGCGAATAGCTCGGAAACGCATCGACCGATTCAACCGGTCGAACATTGTCTTCCGTTTCGCGCGGCCGTTCATTATGTATTTTCGTCGCACGTAGGGCTCCTCTCTGCTGCGGACGCGTGCATCGCCGGATTAAATTGTGGTCCGTTACACGCACGGATTTATCGCGTCGGGGCATGCTACGTACTACGTGGAGAGCACGTCGGTGCACCGGTCGCGGATATACGGGCCTGATTTGCATCTCGGCTCGTCGCCGCTCGACTCCAACGACGCGATTCGCGTCTCTCCGCCGCACTTCCAATCGTTCGATACTTTTTCATCCGTCAGCAGAACTGTGACGCGCGTCGGCCAGACCCCCCTTCTTAGCAGTCGATACTGCTGCAGATCTCGAGTTAACAGCCCCCCACAGCACTTTCCAGTTTTGGCTGCGAGGATCGATCGTGTGTTTCGCGTTACGTGTATTTCGTTGCACGGCAGTTTCTCGCCGGTGCGTGCATTCGAACGCTTTGAAAAGAAAAAGAACCGCGTGGCCGCGCTCTTCCGTCCGTGCAGACGATGTTATCTGCTTACGATGTAGCGCGCTTCGATATATATATGTATATATATATATATATATGTGTTACGAACGTGGATAGTACGCGCGGTATCCCACCAAGAGCCCACGCTTATTCCGTGTAATCGACAACTAATAGCCGTGCTATATCTCACGTCGCGTCGATTCGATCGCCAGTTTAACGTCTGTTACCGGGTTGAATCTGCGCGCGGCAGATTCAAACGTTCGAGTACCGTGCCTCGACGAGGACATTTTGCAGGCGTCTAGCCACCGCTCTCTCTCTCTCTCTCTCTTTCTCTTTCTCTCTCTCTTTCTTTCTTTCTCACCGTTCTCGCGGCTTCCCTTGTGCTTCTGCTCGAGCCAACGAAAAGCTCCGACGGGTTTCTCATGCGGGAAAAGTCAACGTTTTTCCAGCGGTCAATACGAGAAGCTAACTGGCGACCGGGTGTCGGAAGGTTAGTAACTTGGTCAACGGTGAACGACCGAGGGAGGGAACTGCGCATGCGCCAGTACGCCGGTGACCCAGATGCGCGCAACGTGATTGCCGTTCGGTCGTTCTCGCCGATTCTCGGCGACCCTCGGGGCCTCTCGCGGTCGCCTCGCGGTTGACCCACATCGCTGCTACTCGCGGCACTCGCCACCACTCGCGCGCTGTTCGCGCCATTCGCTCTCTCACTCTCGCATTCACACACACACACACACACACACACACACACACACCTTTTCCTCTCTTACACTGCTTCTCTCTTCTCTCTCGCACGCTCTTTCTCTCCATCTGCGATTTATCGATGCGCTTCTCCTTTGCACACCCTGCCCTCCCTGTCGAGTATCCCGCGAGAATTGGATGGGTTCGACGATGACGACGACGGCGATGGCGATGATGATGGGTGTTAATTTGATGGAAATTGAACGGGTGGGAAGTCGCTTGTTAATTAGAATATGCGTCCTTTAGAGTTTAGGTTAGGCACGGGAGGAGGAGTCGCAGAGGATTCGGCAGAGTTCGTGGAGGTTACGCTGATAAAACGAGGGTTTGGCTGCGTCTGGCTGACTTCACCAGCCGGTTAACGAAAGAAATACCATTAATTAGGGGATACGCTTCGCAACAATTTCGAGCGCAGCGTTAATTCGCGGGCTCTTCCGTTCTATGCAAATGGGGGAAAGAGAAAGGTTGAAGATGAAAAAATGTCAGGATTATTCGAGGGAAAATAAGTCGAGAAAAACATAATGAATTTCGTAATTAGATGATATCCGACGTAAGAAAAGAGAAAAAGAAGAGGAAGGAGAATGAACATACGAGAGAAGGACGTGTGCAGCGATAATTTTAAAAAATTCGGGTGCCGGTGGTGCTCGTGATTCGAGGGAAATTGGAGGGTCAGAGAGGATCTCGGAAATATGAAAAGGCACGTACGGCGTCGTGTCTGTACTTGAAACTGACTCACTGAAGCGTTGCTCACTCGTGACTACCACTCGTCTGAATTCCACTACCTTTTTGCTCGTGCCCGGGTGTCAATGTTGTTTTACCGTCGAAAGAATCGACGCGATATTTCTACAAGAGCTTATATACATACATGTATATATCTCGTTTCGCGTACTTAGCACTGAATCAAAAATCAACGACCTTATTAAAAAAAAGAAAGCGACGATAAATAACATGCAACGCGAAACGAATTCCCACGATCGTCTGGAGAGACTTGAGAAAAAGGATGAAAACTCGAAGGAAAGGATTTTCTCAAGCTCCGATTATTAACATTTCGTTACAACACGTTATCGATCTATTGAGAAGACAAAATTAGGACGTATCGTTAATAAAATAAGAAAACTCGTTTCTCCGCGCGTCGTTCCGCCGCTTTTATCCAGTCGTTATTATATCTGACTGCAGCGATTCGCAGAGAGAAAAGGTTCGCGTACGCGAGGTATTTCTTTCAATAGCGTGCAGTTTGCACGGTACTCGCATCTACGTATCGAAAGAATGTCGAAAGGAGTCGCAGCACCTTGAACACCGCCACGAACGCAGTATCGCGTATCGATTAACAATATTAATGACCGCGTCCGATGATTGTTAAATAGAAACTGGCGCGGGTCGAGTTATTAATCGTCAGTTTCGTTTACCTCTCGAGACTAACGACACGTTTATCAGTCAACATTATCTTCGGGTTTCTACCGCTCTTCTTTTTTTCTTTCGGTCGTGTCTGACGTTGTACAGTCGCTTTTCACTTCGCACTCAATGCCCGTCATTTAAAGTCACGGCATATTGATTTTAATGCGGTGCGCTCTCGGCGTTCACCAAACACGAGTCCCGTTTGTCGAGAGAGAGAGAGAGAGAGAGAGAGAGCCAGTCAGTTGCAACTTGCAACCGAAGAAATTAATTCCTTTCAACGTTGTCGTTTCTTTTTCCGGGGATCCCGTTTGAAGAATATCCGTAATGAAGTTCATTTCGTCCCCAAGGAAACGGCACGGAGGGGACTTTAGCTTTTCGAGTGGCTCTGAAGGGCCGGCCATCCTTCAGCCTTCTTTCCTCAGTCGCTTCTCCCCTCCTTTCTCCTTTCTTTCTTTCCTCTCTCGTTTCTTTTTCTTTGTTTTTTTTTTTTTTTTTT